AATTGTATTGCAAGTTATTGCCATTGTAAGTTTTGTTTCTCTCCTTTTTTATTTATAGGGAAGTTCGTTTTTGTTGGTTTATTGTTATAGGCATTAGCTCACCCCAGAAGTTTTTGCTTCAAAACTGTTTGGTTGTTGTTTCTAATTTCTCTCTTAGAAAAAAAAGAAAAGAAAGAAATAATTTTTTGTTAAAAACACTAATAACACTATAAAACAATCTAAAGAACAATCAAATAACATAAAATAAAAAATGGGGTTTGTTTTTTGTATTTATATAACACCCTGACCTAGACCAGGGACCATGACATTTATTGATTCTGCTAATCATGTGTTCATCATTGTCTGAATTCTGACAGTCGGAACAGCCTCTCAGGGCTGAAATTAACATGATTTTAAACCAAAAAGTAATTCCATTTCGAGATTAAAGTCGAAAAATGTTGAGAGTAGGCTACAAGAACAGGCTACAGCAGGGCTATTCAATTAGCTTCATTCGAGGGCCGGATTATTAAATCGAAAATTTGAGGTGGGCCGGTGGGTTCACAGCAAAATCCCCAGTGTTAAATTAACACTGAGAAGTGAGAATTATATAAGCTCCGAGCAGAGTGTTAAATGAACACTGAGGCAGTGTTAAAGTTAATGGGACAATTAAGTGAATAATTGAGTGATGATTGAGTATTATTGAAGACACCTGATGTTAACAAGCAGAATCACTGAAGTAGAAAACCGGAATTTTTAAGTCACCATCATGGTGATCAGTGTTTGCTTTAGTTGGGATCTTGACCCTTAAACCATATACTTTAGATTTAATTTGGCCGCTGTATGTGACTTATAACAGCTAGATAAACAAATAGAAAAGTATCTGATGGTTGTGTTATAACATAATCATTAATTGACCTGAACTCTTCAAGAGCATAAAGTAAATTTACCTTATGGATTTCAGCAGCACGAACAAACGTTTTTTAGCCCTTTCAATGAAATCCGTATGAACAAATAAAAAAAAAATAGAAAAAAATATTTTATGTTGGCACACACACACACACATCAAGAATTAGCGTATGGATCTCAGCAATGGTGACAAACAGATCACGTCTGAACATAAGCTCATCATTTATTCATGCAGCAATGCATGATGGGAGCTATGAATGAGTTTTGATTGGTGGCATCCAGAATGCACTGCAACATTCCTTATAATTGTCACCATTGTTGAGATTCACAGGCAAATTATTTGTCTGTGTGTCTTCAAATAAAATTGAAGAGAAGTAAAAAATTTTAATTGTTATAATAACCGAAATTGTAACTTTTTGGCACTTGGCAGTAAACTGCTGTTTTGTTAAAATCAACCACTAGAGGGAGCTGAAACCTACCGAGCGCATGAGAACTGCTGACTGAGAGCATGCACAGCTTCTCTCCTCCACAACTCATCGGGATTTGCAGTTTGAGTTTTTCCGATTTAAATGACAGGGAAAACGAAGTACAGCTTCAGAACTGATTTAACATTCTATTCAAGTGTCAGGACAACGAGACAACATGGCGTCTTTCTATTTTTTTATTTATTTATGCATTTTAAGAAACATAACAAAAACAAATGAACTTTCCCAAAGTAAACTAAAAACATGATAGCCTATATTTTTAAACATCACACAAAAAAGAAAAATACATATGAGAGCAATAAAATACAATTCTACAATCCTAATACAGTAATTGGACATGGGATATACAGAGGAAAAGGCTATCAGTGAGACAAACATAGCCTCCAAAAGGGAGAAAGAGCAGAGAAAGTCCAGGACGTGGATTGGAGAAGCTGATCCAGAATGACACCGGTCACACTTGTGTCAATATAGAGGGTTTTAAGCATATTTTCTCCTCTCCATGTCAGTGGGGAAAATGAACTATACATTCATTCTGCTTTCTCTGAGCGACTGGATCCTTAAACAGCAAACCACTACAATTTTAAACCCACAATTTAGTTTTTAATAGTTTATTCTGCAGTAAAGCCGGTTCCTTGATTAGTAGTAAATCACCTTCACCTGCTTTCAGATGGAAAATATGAGTGTTAAATTAACACTCAAGAGTGTTAAAGTTAATTAGATAATTAAGTGATTAATTTAGTGATGATTGAGCATTATTGAAGACACCTAAAGCAGAATCACTGAAGGAGAAAATCACAAATTGTAAGCCACCGTTATGGTGATCAGTGTTTGCTTTAGTTGGGCTCTTGATCCTTATACTTTCACTTTAAATTTTGTTTGTGTGCTGTTATTAATTTATACCAGTCAAATGAACAAAGACAAGTGTAATCTGATGGTGTTGGTTATGTTTTTGCATAGTCATGCTGTGATCTGAAAAATGAAACTTATTGAGATGATTTGGTTTAATTTGTTAGCAACAGATTTGTGATTTTACAGCAGATGATGATCAGTATATTTTATAATCCTAAATATTTAATAAACATTGTTCTGATCAAAACACTCTCAAAAGGATTTTTTTTAGAAACACAGACATTAATAATCAGTCTGAGAATCTCAACAAGGGTGACAATAATAATCCTTTTTGCCACCAATCACAACTCATTAATGTCTCCCATCATACATTGTGGTATGAATAAATTATAATCTGAATTGTCTATGTTATTTACTATTTCTAATTGAATAGTCTGCTCGTCACCATTGTTGAGATGCATTGACTGAATCTTGAAGTCTGTGTGTGCCTAAAAGAAAGATATTTTTTAAACAACTTTTAAGAAATCCTTTATATTATATCCAAAATTCTAGATATTTATGCACAATCACAGTTATGCTGTACCCAACAGTATAAATCACAAACATTAAATTCAAGGGTCAAGAGTCCAACTAAAGCAAACAATGATCGCCATAATGGTGGCTTACAATTTGTGATTTTCTCCTTCAGTGATTCTGCTTGTTAACATCAGGTGTCTTCAATAATCCTCAATCATCACTAAATTATTCACTTAATTATCTCATTAACTTTAACACTCTCAAGTGTTAATTTAACTCTCATATCTGCATCATATCTTCCATCTGAAAGCAGGTGAAGGTGATTTACTACTAATCAAGGAACCGGCTTTACTGAAGAGATGCGCATAACATTTGATTTTTTTTAAGGAAGATACAAATTACATGTATTTGAAATACGTAGTTAATTACTTTGAGTATTTTGTAATTAAAATACTGCCCTCTGCATATAAACACTGAGCAGTGTTAATTTAACACTGGGCATTTTGCTGTGTAGGATCAGAGATTCTCAGAGTGGATGTGACTGGCCCACACTAGGGCTGAACATTCCTATAGACTGTATGTATTTGGCTCTTTGGGACTCCAGGTCTGTTGATAGGTTTCATGTGAGTGCTCTTTTCATTCTCGTACACACTGTCTTCCTGCATCAAGAAAACAAAGTGTACTGTAATATGTCTGCTCTGTCATTGCATACAGAATATTAAGTTGGGTTTTTAGGATATTTTGACTTACAAAATCGTTGGCATTACTCTTCTGTTCATCTCTGCTTTCATTTTGCTTGTTGACTGGCGTCACACTGCCTGTGGAATTATCAAAACAAAGAAATACATTAGTAAAACTTTCTATTGTTTTAATTATGCTGATAGTAGTGGCTTGTTTATTTATACCCGTCTTTGCTGATGTCTTTCGAAGAACGATCAATGCAACTACAAGTATGATCACCAGACCACTGACCAGACCACAGACAGCGTATAGTATGTATACTGTAGTGTTTGAGGATGCTGAGGAAAAGATTGAAAGATATTGTTGTATCATTAAATCATTTAGATAGCCATCATCTACATAATTTCCTTCCAATTAATTGACTTGTTGGCATACTTAAGTAATATTAAAGTAACAATAATCACCATTATAGTGACTTTGAATCAATTACACTTCAATTAAACAATATCATTTCTTACAGTGGCATAAGGACAACTGTATCATGCGAATTTGATTTGAACAGGAAACAAAGGAGCTGGCTTAAGTTCAGGAAGTAGTGCAGCTGTGCATAAAGTCAATTATATCAATTGCTGTGAGAAAAGGCTATAAATCTCCACCTCCAACATCCTCACATGCAATATAGCCATCTAACCGAGACTCTTTATGTGTACAGGTGTGTGTGTGTGTAGAGATGTGACGTAATGACGCAAAGACATACTCGAATCTCCCGCGAAATCCACCAGTACCACTGGAGTTAAAAACATTACAACAAGCTTACCGCTTTGAATCGAGCTAAGGCAAGCAGAGAGTTTTGAACACTGGCTGGTTATATAAGACTCTTTTAAGGTCTATATCATTTTAGTGATATTATTACTGTATTATTAATAGCCTAATATTTATTAGCCTAATTGTATTGTTTTTAGTATTATTAGTGCCATTAAACGTTTTGTTAATGTGCTATGGAAACAAAATAGGCTACTGACGAACAACGATGCTGTTTTCATCTTGGATCTGTATAAGAATGATGAGTCTGTTCAAACAAGCACTCTTGACAATTTGTGATTGAATGGATCACCTTACAATTCAATTATGATGTGGGATGTAGTTTTTTAGTCTGTTTTAAAAACTTTTTCTTAGAGGAGTCCGAATACGCTCGTGTTGGTGTTGTCGCAAGTTTTAGGCTATGTGGTGATGTCGTTATGAATTTAGGCAAGGCAAATGAATTGTAGTTCCTAATATTAATTTAATAACAATACTATCTTTGTAATAATAATAATAATTTAATACATTAATGGTAAAACAAGCAAATTATCGTATTGATATCTCAGACTATCATCGATACATCATACTATCGTCTATCAGCACAAATCTATGCTCGTATATTTTCATTAACAATATGGTTTGATTAGGTAATTGTCCATGTACATGGGCCATTTCATTTTATTCATTCATGGCACATGAATTTTTATTTTCTTTAATATGCAGCCCATTACATTAGAAAACATTCAGGAAATAAGCCAATAGAGACACAGTGTGTTACATTACCAGGTGAGATGGTCACTGGTGTGACAGTTGTAGAGCTGGTGTTAATGCTGCCAGTGTCTGAAAGTTTGGATGAATAATGATTAATCAACAGAAACACAAATATCATGAATGTGTAGAAAGAGCTCATGTGAATATAATTACCTGCACAGTATGCTGAATCACAGAGAGTTGGTCTGACCAGCCAACTCACCAGCCTTATTATGTCAAATGCTCACCTTGCTCTGTTCTGTGATGCACGTTTGTGACTCTCCTGTTCGAACTCATTTATCAAAATGAACAAATCTTTTTCGAGTCAATTCGTTCGAATGAACCAAATGACTCGAAAAAGATTCGTTCATTTTGATGAACGAGTTCGAACAGGAGAGTCACTAACGTGCATCACAGAACGGAGCAAGGCGAGCATTTGAGCTTATAAAACTTAAACTTTGTTATTTAAAAAAAGAGTAATAGTTTCACTTGATAAGACCCTTATTCATCGTCTGGAATCGTTTAAAGCCCTTTGAACAGTTTGTACTGAAACTGTCTTTTGGACCTTGAACCGTTTCGTTCCCAGCGAAGTGCATTATATGGAGAAAAATCCTGGAATGTTTTCATCAAAAACCTTAATTTCTTTTCGACTGAAGAAAGAATGATATGGACATCTTGAATGACATGGGGGTGAGTAAATTATCAGCAAAATTTTTCAAAAGTGAACTACTCCTTTAATGGTAAAACAAGCCAATTATCGTATTGATATCGTCAAATGCATCTGCCATAGGCGATATCTCAGACTATTATTGATACATCATACTATCGTCTATCAGCACAAATTTATTATCGTATATTCTCATCAACAATATGGTTTGATTAGGTAATTGTCCGTGCACATTGGCCATTTTATTTATGCATTGTCCATTTTATAAAAAATTATGTAATTTTTATTTTCTTTAATATGCAGCCCATCACATTAGAAAATGAGCCAATAGAGACACAGTGTGTTACATTACCAGGTGAGATGGTCACTGGTGTGACAGTTGTAGGGCTGGTGTTAATGCTGCCAGTGTCTGAAAGTTTGGATGAATAATGATTAATCAACAGAAACACAAATATCATGAATGTGTAGAAAGAGCTCATGTGAATATAATTACCTGCACAGTATGCTGAATCACAGAGAGTTGGTCTGACCAGCTCATAGACATAATAATCTCCTGGACAGGCTTTGACTTTAATGGGATAAGACCCGAAATAGCAGCAGAAATTGATATAATAACCACAGACATCTCGAGTGACGACTCCATCTGTTACTGTTGGGTGTCCACCACGGATCCACAGTGGGACATCAGTGCCACATTTGTACCTCGCAACACACGTGTCTGGGATATGAGCGCTCATGTTGTTAATGAAGAGACGATACCAGCCGCTCCAGGAGACAGACGTGTCACAGTTTCTGACTGAAGCATATGTATTATTGATGGATCTCCATGTATCGTCCAGCACAGTGTAGTTGTTGCAGGGGTCTGACAGATTAGATGTAGTGAAAATATATTAAGAAATTATCAAGTTTCTGAAAAACTTGTTTTATAACAAATTTTATAACCAAAATTGCAGCTTTAGACGTTACTTTTTTCTTCTTCTTCTTCTTTTGCTAATTCAGAACGATTCATTTCGATCCACAATATTTTTTCAAATGCACTTATGGTATTATTTAAACATCAATACATCTTAAAGAAAATCTTTTAAATTGGAAGTAATAATGTTACACATGTTACGCATTTCCATTTTAGAAATTACCACTTTAAAATTACTATTAGGTTTTCAGCGAGAATCCTGGGCTGCGTTCAGCCCGGACTAAACGTTGCACAACGTTTTTTAAACCGAAACTGTGATGCGTTGAACACCTCACTCTGACAAAAGAGTTGCAACTATGGCAGCCCGAGAAGGCCATTCAGAGCCTGATGAAGTCGGTATAAATTTGTGTTTAATAGCCTACTACAAAATATGCCCGATGTTACTGTAACTGCACTTGCCGCCCAGAACACAAGAGAACAAGAGAAACTGAAAGCACACATCTTACCTAATTCAGACTAAAACACACTCTATTTAGCCTCACATACTGACTTTATTTGTATTTCATACTGTTTTAATACCCTATTTTCTTTCTCATTTTCTTTAGTATGCAGCCCATTACATTAAAAAACATGCAGAAAATAAGCCAATAGAGACACAGGCCTCTACCTTGCACCCGGCGCAAATGAATTATTACACTATGTCTCATTCCTGTTTTGCAACCGTGCAAAGCAGGCCTTTTCCCTCCAAAGACGCTCGTCGTTAAACTAGGAAATGAACTTGCGCTCCCTGGGCGGATTGGCGCAAAAAGGAGGCGTGTTTTGGCGCATACATTCCCTGGTGCTATTTTACGGTTCCAGAAATCATTTGTGCCACTGACCAGAAAAAAACTGGTCTAAAGTCAGTGGCACGTTGCGCGTTGTTCATAATGCTATTTTAAACGCGCATGTATGGCCATAATGTAGCGGGTGCACAATGCGCATACACTTTGACTCTCTCATTAACACGGATGCAGCAGTTTTTTATTTAGCAAATCAGACATTATAACAAGGAAAGCTATTGACACATGAGGAAAATCATTATAGTTTACATGAAGATGGAAAAAAAAACTAATTACCCATTTTTTTTAAGGCTAAATGTAGTACTGAAGGATCAGACCTCTTTGCCCAATAGTGGCAAGAAACGTATGTGTATAATGTTTAATCGACGCTGATGCTCATGTTGGATGACGCTCTGATTGGTTTATTTCACGTTACGCCCAAACCAACCTATCAATAATGAAGCTACTTCAGACCAACCCCTTTTAAACTTGCGACCAGATCAAGAGTCATTTATCACGCTGGTAAAACAGCAACAGTGCCCAAGACCCGCCCACAAAGTTGCTTGATACTTGCATTTCAGATTGTTAAAATAGGGCCCACAGTGTGTTACATTACCAGGTGAGATGGTCACTGGTGTGACAGTTGTAGAGTTGGTGTTAATGCTGTCAGTGTCTGAAAGTTTGGATGAATAATGATTAATTAAAAGAAACACATCATGAATGTGTAGAAAGAGCTCATGTGAATATAATTACCTGCACAGTATGCAAGATTGCAGAAAGTTGGTCTGACCAGCTCATAGACATAATAATCTCCTGGACAGGCTTTGACTTTAATGGGATAAGACCCGTAAAAGCAGCAGAAATTGTAATAGTAACCGCAGACATCTCGAGTGACGACTCCATCTCTTACTGTTGGGTGTCCACCACGGATCCACAGTGGGTAATCAGTGCCACATCTGTACTGAGCAACACACGTGTCTGGGATATGAGCGCTCATGTTGTTAATGAAGAGACGATACCAGCCGCTCCAGGAGACAGACGTGTCACAGTTTCTGACTGGAGCATTTGTATTATTGATGGATCTCCATGGATTGTCCAGCACAGTGTAGGTGTTGCAGGGGTCTGACAGATTAGATGTAGTGAAAATATATTAAGAAATTAACAAGTTTCTGAAAAACATGTTTTACTACAAAACGTAACCAAAATTGCAGTTTTAGACGTTACTTTTCTTCTTCTTCATCTTCTTTTGCTAATTCAGAGCGATTCATTTCGATCCACAATATTTTTTCAAAGGGACTAGTATTATAACTAATGCTAACGCTGTTTGAGTATAACATTAGTAGCCAGTCAGTTGCTATTGTGTTAAACAAACGTGTATAAACAGTTGTGGAGGATGAGAGGGGTGAGGGTTCCTAGGGGGTTGGTTCCCCGAAGGAAGCGCACTCACCGTGATCCGCAGGTCACCCACGCCAGCGGCCGAAGCAACCCTCATTGGAGGATTGGAATGGGGCGCCGGCACGGGGACTCCACACCCTTGCAGGAACGAGAGTCTCGACCACAGCTCCAGCTCTTTTAGCAGAGGCAACGAAGTTTAGGCTCCGAAGCAAAAAGCTGAAGTGCAATCGCAACACCTGCTCATTATATACCCGTGCTGACGAGGCCGCGCAGCTGATGCAAATGACTGCACGCCAATGTGCATTGGCTTGTTATAGATTCACTTAAAGTATATTGGCTCTCTAGCGAGATTTCGATTTAAGTTGTTGTGACTGACCGATAGGTCAACAATCTGGAATTCAGTTTCCTCCATATTTCATATGTATACAATCAAAACATGTTTAAACAAAACGATTTCACTAAAACAGCAGTATTTTATTTTACAGAAAATAATGAAGTTTCTACAATATGAGTGATCACCATTGTGGTGATCAGTGTTTGCTTTAATTGGGCTCTTGGTCCCAGATCACCGTACTTTAGCTTTTCTTTGGCTGTTGTGATTGTGTGTTTGTCCATTGCATGTGCAGAGAAACCCAAGAAAATGAAAAATCAGCTGTCATCAGCTCATTATTGATGGTGACAAAATCAACACAATGCAAGCATTTATCAGTGTGTAAACTTTTGTCTTTATATCTGATATTTATAACAACCAATCTTGTGGAACTGGATTATTTGGACCATTAACTTTAAAATGATCACTGTGTACCTAATGTTTTAAGAAAGTGAATCACATAGTCACACACAGATATCAAGATTTTGCATATGAATCTCAACAATGGTGACAACCAAAACAAAAAAGCCTGGGAATCAAGGATGTTTTTACTATGAAAGCTACCCATCATGCATTGCAGCATTACGCTTTTTATTTATTGTCACCATTGTTGTGAGTCATATGCAAAATCTTGATGTCTGTGTGTGACTACATGGTCAATTTTCTCAAAACATTGTGTAAACTTGCCTTTTGTCCACCTTCCATGTTATACAAATATCACCATCTAAACAATGTAAGGAAATTACATTGAAATAAACATGAGTTTTTATTTAATGCATCCTGAGAGTGTTTATTTGGTCTAGAAACAGTATAAATTGTCTAAATGTGACCATAAATAATGTTGAAAATGGCCACATTTTAACTAGTTTTTAACCTTGTACGAAGGATCCTTTAACAGAACACGTCAAAAAATGACGTCATAAAAACTTTAATTCCGGACCCTCAGTGGACGTCTTTTCAACGTCAGACTTTTGTGACAAAGACGTTGAAAAGACTTTTGGACATCATTTTCTTAGTGGGCCACTGTAGCAATGGATTAACAAATATCAACTGGAGGCAACAATATTGCTACTGTATTTTCTACAGTAAAGTACTGGCAACAACAGCTGATGTTTTTATTGAATTATAGTCGTGCAGTGAATATTTTATTCTTCTGACACAAGCACACATCTATCCAAAGGTACAGAGCGGTGTTTCCTAAAAGCATCGTAAGCCTTAGTTGATCATAGAGGCCATTGGTGTCCGCTGCTCTGCCATCAACTCAGACTTATGATGATGCTTTTGGGAAATACAGCCCTGATCTGTAGACTACATACATTAGAAAACATTCAGGAAATAAGCCAATAGAGACACAGTGTGTTACATTACCAGGTGAGATGGTCACTGGTGTGACAGTTGTAGGGCTGGTGTTAATGCTGCCAGTGTCTGAAAGTTTGGATGAATAATGATTAATCAACAGAAACACAAATATCATGAATGTGTAGAAAGAGCTCATGTGAATATAATTACCTGCACAGTATGCTGAATTACAGACAGTTGGTCTGACCAGCTCATAGACATAATAATCTCCTGGACAGGCTTTGACTTTAATGGGATAAGACCCGTAATAGCAGCAGTAATTGTTCCAGTTACCGCAGACATCTCGAGTGACGACTCCATCTGTTACTGTTGGGTGTCCACCACGGATCCACAGTGCGACATCAGTGCCACATCTGTACCTCGCAACACACGTGTCTGGGATATGAGCGCTCATGTTGTTAATAAAGAGACGATACCAGCCGCTCCAGGAGACAGATGCGTCACACACTGAGCCACGTCCATTACTGATGGATCTCCATGGATTGTCCAGCACAGTGTAGTTGTTGCAGGGGTCTGATAGATTAGCTGTAGTGAAAATATATTAAGAAATTAACAAGTTTCTGAAAAACATGTTTTACTACAAAATGTAACCAAAATTGCAGTTTTAGACATTACTTTTCTTCTTCTTCTTCTTCTTTTGCTGATTCAGAACAATTCATTTCAATCCACAATATTTTTTCAAAGGCACTTAAAGTATTATTTAAACATCAATACATCTTAAAGAAAATCTTTTAAATTGGAAGTAAACATGTTACACACCAGTATAATCATTTACACATTATTATTATTTTTAAAAGATTTTATTTCCATTTTAGAAATGACCACTTTAAAATGACCATTGTTAGGTTTTCAGTGGGAATCCTGATACATAAACTAATATTAAAGTAACAATCTGATATTCAGTTTCCTCCATATTTCTTATGCATATAATGACAAAAATGTTTAAACATAATGATTTCACTAAAACAGCAGTTTTTTATTTTGCAGAAAATAATGAAGTTCCAGTAGTGTCTCCAGTAGTGTCCTCAACACTGTATCACTGTTTGATCGGGTCTGACTCTAAACTACAATTGAGAGAGACAGAGATCTGTCGTTCACTCAGTGACAGTCAGTGTTTTACTGAGAAGAGATCAGACACGAGCTGCTCAGAAAACTGTCACTGAGAGTTACAGACCAAACAGAGATCGGTGTCATGAATCAGATGGATTTGTGATCATTTAAGGGCCCCTATTGTGCTATTTTAAAGTTTCCTAATGTTGGTGTGGAATCTCCTACAACATGTTTATGCGCATCAAAGAAAAAAAAAGTTAAATTTCCTCGTAATATACAATTGCACATCATCAGATTTTCAATGATTTTCAAACGACTCATAAAATGAATCAATCTCTCTAAATCCCTCCTTTCTGCAAGCTCCTCTGTTCTGATTGGCCAGACAGCTCAGTCTGTTGTGATTGGTCTATCGCGTAGAGCGCGTTGAGAAAAAAAAAAACGCCCATTGCCATAACAACATCACCTCTGCTGGTCCTGAGGCTTCTTCCTACACCGTTAACTAAACACTAACCAATAATGACGTCGATTTGACCATATTAATTTACTGGGAGTCAGTTGTAGCCAGTGGTGTAGTCTACGTGATACGCAGGTATACGCCGTATACCCACTAGAAAATGTCAAGGATTTGCGTATGCCCACAAGGAAATGTCAAAGATCTCCGTATGCCCACAGCCCACTTTAAAAAGCGTGAGGATTCGTAACAACGTAAGGCGACCGAATTTCGTGTTCCCTAATCTTATTAGATTCAGCGCGCGAGCACGTCAAAAACAGAGGACGCAGGGTGTGTTTGTGTTCATCTGAGCCTCATTTGTCTGTCACTGCTCGTCAATGTCAGAATATTTGAGATGACAAATCAAATCAAAGTAGGCGGGCTTTTTTTCAAAGACGCTGCTGAGCGCGAATTTCAGCAGAGTGACTCGACGCTTCAGTTTACAGGCAAGTGCGAGAAAAGATGTAAGTGGCTAAACTTAACATTTCATATTGTACATTTTTTAGGTCATGAATGTTAAACGAATGACAAAAAATAATCAGGCAAACTATAGTTTTGTGTAATTTCGCCATTTTGAAGTGAAATAAATAGACCTGTAACGTGACTCATGCAATTTAATAGTTTACTGTCATTGCGAGGGGACAAGAAACATTAACAAAGCCGTTTTCATCATTTTAGCCACAAGACTAATAACGAATGTGTACATATTGAGAATATAATAAAAATTGTAGCCTTTATTACATTAAAAAAGCTCAGCCTTCGGAGGGGGAGAGAATTTACTGCCCACTGACATGGTTTTAAAGCTATTTCTTATTCTTTTTTTCTTTAAACGTCTTGAAATGCACATCAGAGAAATCAAAAAAATTGAAGCACCAACCTCAAATTTAGGACCTCTTTGATTATAAAGCCCTGTCTACGGCCCAGATCAATAATGAATGTGTAGCCTATATGATTTGAATGTATTTAATAAACTTAATTACCTAGCTTTACTAGCTTTCAGTGAATAAACGTGTCCGAGAAAAATTATTCATAGGGAAAATCCACTTATCAGTTGACCCCATGTTTACTTTCTTTACTGACAGACAAAAATGAAAAGCCTATATCAGTCACAGCTCATCTTTAGGAGGGGAAGAGACAGGGCAAGATAAAAACAGAGAAAAAGAGGGTGATGCTGATGAGGAGAAAGAAATAATCAGCTGCCCAGTGCCCACTGGTTTTAAAGCTGTTATCTAATTTTTTTGGCCTTCAAAACATCCTAAAATGCACATATGTAGATCAGAGAAATAAAAATTTTCTCAGGGAAACCCTGAACTCCCCTAACTAACCTACCTCACATTTGGGACAACAGTGATTATAAAACCCTGCCTTTTGCATGTAACGAAACCGGTTAATAGTGAGCATTAGATCCTAAACTAAACCTAGTGACGCCCCTGCTTCATGCAACCTGTCAAAGTATACCGCTGCTGGTATATCACAGTATACTCACTACAAAAAACTAGACTACACCACTGGTTGTAGCCCACTATGCTTCATTAGCCAACTAATATATTGAAGGTAAAAATTACCTGATTTCTACACAAACACTTAAATTACACTTTATTTACAGTATTTTTTTAATAATAAAGTTATATGAAATAATGAAATAAAATAACATGACTTGACTATAAAAAACAAATTTAAATGGTGGCTGCATAAAAATGTTCCAGATTTTTCAAAACAACATGCATTAAATATTTAATAACATTAAAAATTATAATGAATATAGTGCATATATTTGGCAAAATGCTTCTCTAGAGTAAATGTTTCTAGCTGGCTAACGAGTTTATGGTCACTGGATATGTTTTTTCTGAGGTAAATGTGAGATTACATTACATTGTTTAGAAGCGTTTTACTGATGTCTTTCCACGGTTGAAACACTGATTGAGATTACATGTGAAAGATACGGATTTCAATAAGTTGTACTCTATCTTTTAATACACTTTCAGATTCTCATTCATGTTTATTTTGCGCTGTAACTGGTACTATTACAGTAAGGCAGAACAAAAGATCATGTGCGCTCCGCACTGCTGCTTCTCTTGAGCTGAGCTGAGCCAGAGCGATATGCCACAGCGTCAAAACACTTTATGTTTTTGAATTTTGTAAGAAAATTGACCTAATTTGACCTTAACCCTAACCAGTTCGTAAAAAATGAGAATCGATTAAAATTGAGAAAACAATATTTTTTACCAAGCCCTAGTTCAAGTAGCCTACATTTTTTTTTAATTCTTCGTCGTCTGTTTTCTTGAGTTTATTTAGCTTAACTGTGCTCTGCTGTGTGTCTCTGTGTGCTCTCCGCTGTGTGTGTACGCTGTGCTCTCCGCTGTGTGTTTGTGTGCGCTGTGCTCTGCTGTGTGTTTGTGCACTGTGCTCTCCGCTGTGTGTGCGCTATTCTCTCCACTGTTTGTGTGTGTGTGTGCTGTGGTCTAGTGTATTCATTTTTACAGTAGGTATTGTAAATTTTACCACATGAAGTACATTTTCTAAGTTGAAATGACAAGATATTTTTTTGTGTACATTACCTGTTGCGGTCGTTGACGGTGAGACAGTTGAAAAGGCCAAGTACAGTCTTAAGACATCTGAAAAATATAATGAACACAAACTAATCAACATGTTTCAGAGGACACAATGAAATAGCAGTCAAATAAACATAAATATATAAGCTTGACCTTAAAGTGACAGTTCACCCAAAATTTCCTGTCTTTCCTAGAAATTCTCAATCCCATCACTCTCAACATATTGATCTCACAGGGAACTCTCTATATGGCCACAATGTGAGTTGACAGTGAGTGAAAAATGTAACTGCACAGTGCACTCACTGTGTGCTCATATCATAGCCACAATGTGAGTCATCCCAGCTAGAAATGTTATTGAACATAGACTCTGACATCAGATTTAGCTTGAAAATGAAAACTGGGTAAACATTTGATGTTAGGCTCCAACTTCATTACACAACGAAACAAACAGCATTACCAGCTTCACTTATTACTAAACAGATTTTATTTCTGTCATGTGTGGAAAAAGTTCTTATTGAGATTAACAGAGGTTTAGATGTTGATAGTTTAGTCACCATTAAAAAAAAATCACCATTATGGTGAACAGTGTTTCCTTTAGTTTGGCAATTTGACTCTTGTCTTCTCATGTAATTGTATGATGATTGTAATAGTGTTAACCAAAACACATAATTTGTTGCAAAGAAAGCCAAAATCAAAGATGGTCTGGAGATAGTTCTATAGTTTACAACATAATACAGGACAAAAAAAGTTGAAATATGTTATTAATATTTTAAAAAAATTTTTTTTACAACATTAATTTTTGTACATATTGGACATCAAGCTGATTTATTATTATTATTTTTTAATGGGAAAATAATCCTTGGACAAACACACAGAAATCAAGAATCCACATATGAATCTCAACAATGGTGAAATGCTTTATGCTGCAATGTATTCTGAGAGGCACCATAGTTTAAAACTCTTGGCAGTCGTTCCAGTTGCATAGTTCGCCTGCTAGCCTGCCATTTAAAACAGTTCACTGATAAATAACACTAAGGCTAACTTGGAAATGAGGCCCGATGTCCAAAATTCTGAAACATTCCCTTAATGTCTTTTCAGTTGATTTCATCTAAAGCTGTGGCTAGAAGTTAGTTGTAGTTGTTGTGTTTTATCTTAGTGATTCTGCTTGTTATCATCAGGTTTCTTTAATAATCAAACAACAATCACTCAATTAATCACTTAATTATCTAATTAACTCTAACAAAGCTTTCTGTTTCTTTGAACACTCTGCTGGTGTTTCCCTTATGAACACCTAGCATTGTAATTCAGCACCGGGGAATTAACTGTGTGAAGTGACGTGAAAAATAAACAAGATTGGATTCACTGGTCATTACATCAACATACAGACAAAAAGCAAAAAAACATGGTTCAGACTTACGCAT